ATATTCCAAAGGGGGAAGCTATGATCATTGTTCATTCCATAGACATTTATTGAACATCTACTATGTATCAGGTATGATACCAGGCCCTGTAGATATGTACCACTTAATTTCTTTTAATTTGTCCCGTATGTATACCTTGTCCATCCCACTGGTTTTAAGTTCCTGAAGGGCAGGGTAAAGCAGCGTAATGTAGTATGAAAGAACATACATATTAGAAGACATGAATTCTAATCCTGATTCTATTATTTACTAGCTATATAACTTCAGGCAAGTCATTTTCCCTCTCAGAACTTTATTTTCTTTGTCAAAAATTGGAAAGACTATGAGAATAGTGGTTAAAATCTGGAGTTTGGACGCCTGGGTGGTTCAGTTGGTTAATCACCTGCCTTTGGCTCAGGTCATGATTCCAGGGTCCTGGGATCAAGCCCTGCATGGAGCCCTGCATGGAGCATCAGGCTCCCTGCTTAGTAGGGAGTCTGCTTCTCCCTCTCCTGCTCCCCCTGCTTGTGCTCTGTTTCTCTGTCAAATAGATAAATAAAATATTTTAAAAAAAAATCTGCAGTTTGGAGTCCTGGCTCTAATACTTTCTACGTGTGTGATCTCAGGAAAGCTACTTAACTTTTTTGAGCCTCAGCTTCCCCTTAAGTAGAAAGGGAATTCATTTTCAACATTTATTCCTTCAAAAAATATTTACTGAGCAACACCATGATAGGTACTGCGAATACGATGGGGAGTAAGACAAGCTACTCATGTAATTTATGGTTAATAGTGGACAAAAATACTAAATAGGTAACTATACAAAAAATTCCACTGTGATTAAACTCTGTTGTGGTAAATTTTACTAGCAGGAGCTGACCTAGCTGGGCAGGATCAGGGTTGACCTCCTGGGAAAAGGGACACGCAAGCTGAGCCCTGAAGGATAAGTAGGCATTATCCAGAAAAGAAGGACCTGAAATGGAAAAACTGGACCCTTAGAGAAGGAAAGGAATACCAGCGTGGCTGAAACCGGGTGCACAGGGCCCCTCTCCCTCACAGGTGTTGGAAAGATTAAATGAGATAATAAAATGCTTAGCACAGTGCCCAGCATAAACACAATGATCATGGAGATAACACAACTTTTGATTTGTTGTAGATCGTAAATGAAGTACTGTGTAAATGAGAGGTTCTCAAAACTAGTATTCATCAGAATTACCTGCAGAACTTGTTAAACCACAGATTGCTTGCTCCCACTTCAGAGTTTCTGATTTGGTAGGTTTGGTGCAAGGCACATAATTTGCATTTCTAACTAGTTACTAGCTAATGCTTGTGCTGCTGGTTGGAAGTGAGAGGATACACCTTGAGAGCAACTGGTGTAAACTATAAGGTCCTGAATGCCTTCTATCAGAGTTGAATCTCCCACAGTGCTCAACTCTAGACCCTGAATAGTACAACCTCTCCATAATTACTTGATACTATCCTTGATACTTTTCAGGGTGAAAAAAGGACCTTGAAAATCCCCACCTTTTATGTTTACAGGGGGAGGAACTCAAGGACCAGAGGCAGGAAGCTGCCTAAGAAATGGGAGGGGCCTGAACCCAAGAGCTTTTTTTCTCCAGAGCTACTTTTGGGGCATTTTGTTCTAAGGCAGGCAGCCCCTGAGAGAGGCGTACCCTGTATGCTCCTCCCATCCTCTAGATGACCAGGATGAGGTTGCCCTCCATTACATGTACATTTCACACTTAAAAATATTTTACTAAGTGAATTGATTTTTGAAATAAACGTATTTTTGAGAGTCATCAGATGAATTCAATGAAATATAATCTTTTCAAAGAGAATGCACCCCAGCACAACAGCCTATATCACCCTTTATGTGGACGTGAGTACATATTTAGTTCCCTTTTTCTTCTGTTTTTTTTATAGACGTGTAGGCTCCTCTCTTGTACCTGAAATAACTAGAGCTGATTTTATCAGTGTAGTTCTGGGTCAGAGAGTGTGCTTTACCCTCACAACCTCATTTGATCCTCATTGCATTAAGAGGTAGGTCCTGATTATCTCCATTTCGCAGATGAGAAATCCATGGCACAGAAAAGTCTAACTTGGTGCAGGTCCTAGAAGTCAGGATTTGAATCCCAGAATTAGGATTTGAATCCTGTCTGACTCCAGAGTTTGCCCAAAATAAATAAATAAACTCTAAGATAATTAATGAGATAGTCACAATCGAAATAAAATCAGCGTTGAAAGTAGTAATATGGTAAACTCTGAGAACAGAGACACCCTTAGGAGTCAAGAAGATGCACTGAAATAACTACACAGATGAACAGAATCTCTCTTTCTAACAAGAAAACCCAACAGTAACTTTTATCCTGGTTTCATATTTCAAGAGTTAGACCAGGAATACCCCAAAACAGGTTAAAATAAAAAGCTGAGTCATCAGGGTCTTTCAGAAGGAAAGAAACCTCTGTAGGATGAGAGATCTTCGCTCCTGCGGGGCGGGGCCTGGAGGCCTGAGGACTAGGGGAGGGAGGAGGAGTGTCCCTCAGAGATCCGGGAGAGGGCGTGGGGGGTCTTCTCGCTTTATTTATTCACAACCCACATACTTTACTAGATTTAGTTCTGCCGGTTAACTTAGCACCAGGATGCTCAGCTGGTGAGGCTAGAGTAGACTCTGGGTTATTTTGGGACGTTCTCGGCCCCGCTGCTTAAGATGAGGAGGTCCTAAAATGAACACCCGGACCTTCCTGCCGGCAGACTAGCGAAGACACACAGCAGCGCCTCATCCTCATCCACACTCTCCGGCTCCCCAGTAACTGTAAAGTGCAAAAGAGCTGGCCAGGGCCTGCAGAAGGCGCAGCGCCTCCGAGCCTGGCACGCTTTTCCCCTTCCCTCCCCCGGGGAGCGAGCCCAGCGGCTCCCCACGTGATGTCAGTGGGATCCTGAGCCCCATCCCGCTTCACGGCTGGGGGCGGGCAGACGGTGCTCCCCCACGCTGGGCAGAGCGGGGTGTCGCTCGCGGGGCCGCTGGTGCCCCAGGCCTCCCCCGCCCCGGGACGGTCGCTCTCGGCCGCCGGGGTCCCCCGCAGCCGCGCGCGCCGACCCCGCCGGCCCGCCCCACGCTCCGCCCTGGACGCCGCGGGTCCCGGCGCGGGGGTGCGCGGGGGTGCGCGGGGGGTGGGAGCGGGCCCGGGCTAAGCCTGATTTACGGCTCTGCTGAAAACCGCTTCGCTCCCGCAGCAGTAGCACCGGCCGCGGCGGCAGCAGCAGCGGCTGCAGCTGCAGCAACAAGTCGGGTAAGTGGCGGCAGCGGGGCTTCTGCGCCTGCGGCCCGGCCCCGGGGGCGCGGCAGAGGGGGCCGGCGGAGCGGTCCCGGGCTGGGGACGGGTCCCGTCCCCTCCGCGCGGCGGGGAGTTAGGCTGTCGGCCCCCACTTGCGGGAACTCCTGTGCGCACGAATCCACTCTGGCTCCCGAGGGCTGGCCCGCAGCGGAGCGGGGGCAGGGAGAGCCCGGACCCTCCGGGCAGCGTCTTTGCCCGCCTGCCCTGCGCGGGCAGAGGGAATTAGGGCTTTTCCGCCAACCCTGTGGACTGGGGTTTCCCCTGGGCCCTTGAAAGCACGAGTACTCCCAGAGTGTGTGATTACCCATTTCCCCATTTGGGGATGCCAACCCTTCCCCACTGACCCCCCTGGAATCCTGACTTCCCCTGCCTTCACCTCTCTGCTGCGTTTTCGGTCGGGGTTTGCATCCTATCTCCACAAAACCGGTCGTTAAACAGCCCGCTCGTAGCACAGGAAGAGGTTCCCCTCTCTAGGGAGCCAGAGGCTTATTAACCCGGAGGCTTTGCCTAGCCTGCTGGGGACCGTTTGCGCCTCTGCTTTTTGAAGAGGTTGAGGGCCCAATAACAACACTTTCCAGTCTAGACCCTTAGTTGAGCTTCCTCTTTTTTGGGGCCCAGGGCCTGTTACATTTAAGTAGAAACCATTCCTGGAGGGAATAGGTATGCCCTGCTTGCAGAATAGGGTTGCTGGCAGTCATCTGTTGCTCGGGCTAAGATAAATTGCTAGAAGGAAATAAGAACTTCCTGTTATTAAAAGAGTTATGCTGATACCTGCCGGATTCAAATATTGGCCATCTCTAAAGGTTATCATATTAAAACAGGATCAGAGACGAGATAAATCCATTCAGAACACTGTATTTGTCTGAAGTCTTGACCATGGCCCCTCTTGGGTCAAAATATATTTGATATCTTGAGTTCCCAAATGTCAGTAAATCTGGAATATGGAAGGCTGTCAACCATAATATTTTGATTTATGCCATCACAACAATAACTAAAGGCAAAATCTCAGGTTGAAAAATTTCCAGCTGATTCTGTGTTTAATGCCACTGCGCCTAGCTTGAGTAATATCATTACTATGTTTGAAGAAAGATCACTGAACTCACTCTCTCAGGACAAATTTTGACAATTTGTGTGAGTTTTCCTCTTTGGAATTCATGCTTATCAGGCTTATATCAGTAGAATAGGGCACAGGTTTGCAGTGAGTGTACTCAGTTCAGGAGGGCAGGAAACTTAAATTCCACTTCCAGATCTGCCACTTTCCATCTGGCTTTGAACTCATTACTTTACCTCCTTGCTCCAGTTTTCTCATCTGCAAAAAGAGAATGTTACCCACCTTCATCCTGGCCTGGGGGGGGTGGTGCGGGCGGCGCTTGGCAAGCTTTTCCTAAAGGCCAAGGAGTAAGTCGTTTTGGCTTTGCAGGCCATAGAGGCTCTGTCCCAACTAGTCACTCACCTTTACCTTCAGTGCAAAAACAGTAGTAGGCCACACAGAAAGGAGTGAATGCGGCTGGATTTGGCCCACGGATCGGAGGTTTTAGTTTTAACGTGAGATATTATATGCCAAAGGCATTTGAAGCCAAAAGCCTCTGCCCTGGTAGAGGTGAGGGGCCACAAGCTTGTCAGCAGCATTTTTTAAACAGACGTGTAAACTACCTGTTTTACGTTGCCCTGCCCAGGACCTGAAGAGTAATGCAACAGCAGGCTTTTGAGGCAAGCAGATACCCCTGGCAGGAGTCCTTCCAGAATGTTGCCGTGTGCCTGCCATTCCGCTGCCCGAGGTGTGGAGACCATACCAGATTTAGAAGTCTGTCCTCGTTGAGGGCCCATCTGGAATTCAGTCACAGCTACCAGGAAAGAACCCTTCTGACCAAATGCAGCCTATTCCCGTCCCTCAAAGACCCAGACCTAGTCACTGCCTCAGAACCCCTGAAACAGGGAAAACTGCAGGGCACGGGCCACGTGGTGAAGCAGAAACCCAGCTATGTGAACTTATACAGCATTTCGCACGAACACTCCAAGGACAGGAAGCCATTCGAGGTGGTGGCCGAGCGGCCCGTGTCCTACGTGCAGACCTACACGGCGCTGGACCTGCGTGCAGACTCGCTGGAGGGGCCGCGCTCCAGTCCCGGACTGCCCACCTCGGACACCAAAGCTGCTTTCGAGGCCCACGTCCGAGAAAAATTCAACCGGATGGTCGAGGCCGTGGACAGGACCATCGAGAAGAGAATCGATAAACTCACCAAAGAGTTGGCCCAGAAAACGGCCGAACTGTTGGAAGTTCGGGCGGCCTTTGTGCAGCTGACGCAGAAAAAGCAGGAGGTGCAGAGGCGAGAGCGGGCCCTGAACCGCCAGGTGGACGTGGCGGTGGAGATGATCGCTGCGCTCAGGCAGCGCCTCAGCGAGTCCGAGGAGGAGCTGCTCCGGAAGGAAGAGTAAGTCGTGTTGTGCCATCGCTTTAGGCACCTACCCCCCGAGTTACAAGCACTGGTCAAGCCACGATTGGTTTTTATTACTTGCAGCTACTTTGGCTGCCTTTCTCATTGATACAGCTGAACGTGGGATGCGCAAGGCTTTTGATACCGTTGACCCTCTCTGTGTATAGTCTGCAACCCGGCAGCAGGAGAGTCAAATATTCAGTCCCTTCTCGCCTTGGAAATTATAGGAACGTTCGTTTTGAGAGAGAGGAGTAGCGGTGTTATCTGTGGTGGGATCGGTTCCCGGCACCAGCTGGTGAGCAGAGGGGAGGTGAATGGGAAGGCAGAGAGGGGGCTCTAGCCCAGCCATTTCTCCTTGGTAGCCTCCCTCCATGTAGCCGAGTCAAGAACATGAGATGCTGTCTTGTTCAAGTATATAAATATGCTCTAAATACCAGTAATTCTGGCTTCTTTGCCATTTTGGATTATCTGCTTGTGTTAATTAAATATTGGTCGCTGAGAATCCATTTAATTATAGTTTTTATTTGGAAGAAGCAGGCATTAGTAAACCCAGAGGAGACTTTCTGATCCTGCTGGCTTCTGTGATTTTAGTTTGAGAATTTTCTTTTTGTAGAACGGTATGTGATACTAGAGTCAGTCAGGCCTGCTTGCAGAGTTGACAAGTGGTTTTCACAAGATAGAGGTGAAAGACATCCTACTTGGAAAAGCATTTCCTTATCAGGAAGTATGGCTTCAACTCAGACTTAGAAAAGCATACCTAATAATGCAGTATATTTCCCAAATGCAGAATATTGGATTTAATTTTAAATGGAGGCTCAGAATTCATAGAATCAAAGGGCATAAAAATGGATACCCTAGGATAACCTAGAAGGAAGGTTTCAAATAACTTGGACTATATTATAGAGGTTGACTTAATTTCATACTTTCTGTGTCCACTGGCACTCTTCTATCATGTATTGTCCCTTAAAGTGCAGTAATTAAATTTCTCCATTTGGCGAGAGGCTGAGAAACCCTATATATTAAAGAGATCATTACCTAGTATCACTGAATGCCTACATTCTACCTAGAGGGAAAGCCTGCTCTGATCAACTAGAAATTTTTTTAATTACCTAGTGAGGACAGATTCAAATCAGCCACGGATTTACTTTGCTTTTAGGGAAATGATCTGTAATGAAAAATGTTTCTTTCTTGGCTTCTGGAGTTTCCCCGTGGGAAGTTAGTGCCATGATGACCCACTGCGGCCGCCAGAGTGATTAACATTGCATCACTGGAAAAATGGCAGATGGGGTTCCCCTATGTGCAAAGACAAGCTCAGAATTAAATTTGTGGTATTTCTGTTTGTTTGAAGAGCAGTGAATTTAAAAGGAAAACAAACTGTTTGCACATACTGATTTGTCATATTTTACTTATTGATTACACAAGTAAATAATGAATATGGGATTTGGGCTGGTGGTCGCCTGGACGGAAGCCAGTATGATGGCAGGGAGAATCATACAGTTGGATCTAAGTTATTGTCAAGGATCTAACTTTTGTTTGGGGTGTTGGGTTCAAGAGTGCTTTGTTATTAAGAATATCTTAATATAACTTAGTAAAAGTGAGCCATGCGTGGATCAATTATGATAATGTTAACCCAGTGCTGTTACCTGAAGACCAATTGAAAAAGTAATGTATACTCATTAAAAAAAAAAAATTTAACAGGGTAGAACTGTATGTGTTAAAAGCGTCCCTTCCTCTCCAAGCATAGCCTGCTCCATCCTCCAGAGATATCTACTGTTTAGCTCAGTGAATGTCCTTCCAGACCTTTCCTATGTAGTTACAATCGTATGTACTTTATACACAGAGATGCTATATTCTCCCAAATGGAATCGTGACACATACTCTTCTGCCACTTATGTTTGGAATTTGTTTTTGTTTTAACATAGTATGTTGCAGGCATCTTTCAGGCACTAAATATAGGATTATGTCATTCCTTTTGGCTATTGCATGGCTGTGGTGTGGATGCATTCATAGCTGATTTCATCAGCTTGCTATTAATGAATACATGGTTTTGTTCTGTTTTCCTAGTAATAAAAATAGTGCCTCAGTTAATGGCCTTGTACATATATCTTTGTTCACGTTTTTATGAGTATATCTGAAGATAAATTATGAATTGGTTTTTAGTATGTCATTTTGGACTACGGAGGGGGGCGGCAGCAATAACATTAAAAATAAAAACACTTTAAAGGAAAATACAGTGAAACTGCCTTAAACTTTTAAACATAAAATTAACAAAGTCTTCATTTTTTTTAAGCCTTCATTTGGCCTGGCCTGTCAGTTTCTGTATTCAGGTCTCAAATAATCACTCTTTCTGTACGTAAAATAGCACTGAAAGAGTCTTGTTTCCAGAAAGGACACTGGAGCTCTTGGTCTGAGAGGGTGACTGGCCAGCTCCCTCAGGGTCTGTAGTGTTCAGCCTCCCAAAATGGGGGTGCAGAGCAAGCCAGCTGCCTGTTTGCTGCACCACTGAAACTGAGTTCATTCGACTAGATTTGCCTCCCCAGTACGAGCCCCTTCCCTCCTCACCAGCCCTCACGGAGCTGTATCTTTGACAGAAGAGGTGACCTCTTAGATATGGGAAGATGCTATTTGGCCAGAGAGCAAACCAGTTGTGCTGCCCCGCTAAACCCCTCCAGATGAGTTCTCAAGACTCATTTGTGAGAGAAAGCGCGTGGTTGCAGTCCTACTCGACATGGACTTCAACTCTGGGGACCCTTTGAGACACAGATGGGAGATTCAGTTTAAAAAAAACCTGAACGCCTACGTGAGGCTCTCTTGCGTACGGATTGTTTTCCCCTCAATTTTAAAATCCTTTCAAGTGAGGCTGAGGAGGCTCTTCTGCTTACGGATTTGTTCTCTCAACTTTAAAATCCTTTCCTTCAAACTGAAATGAAAGACTCCAGGGCCGCTTCTGCCCTGAAGCTGTCTATAGGCTGAATGGCCTTGCATTATAGAGGGTCTACATAAGCTCTATAACAGAGGAGATTGAATAGGCAATATCTTGTACTTTTTGGGCTGGTGAGTCTCATTGTACCTCTGGAGAGAGGTGTCTATTTGTTTCTGGGGTGCAAATCCAAGGGACATGTTGTCCATCATCTTCACGAAGTCTCTGCAACTTTAGAAGTCCTATTGAAGCAGGTATTTACTTATTCAGGAGTATTCAGAACTATAGGTTAGCACTGCCTGTAATCAGGTAAATCAATCCCAGCCAGCCTTGCGGTAAGGTATCCCTTAACAAGAAAGGATGGGTTTGGATGGTAGCTAATTTGTGGCTGAGTGGGTCATCCAAGGTTTGGAGCACACCTGTGTATACCAGTAATCCCAAGTTTTTCTGTACCCGCTTCTGGTAAGACTGGAAGGCCCTAACTGAGCACCTGTGATGTGCCTGGCACTGTGCTAGGTGTATATGGGGAACATAAAATTCATGCTGTTTTCCTCTAAGGAGCTAACATCCTGCATAGGAAGCATGAAACATCCCTGTGATCATGTCCATGTTCAGACCCAAGGTAGTTGGAACAAGTGCTTAAATACAAGGCATGGTTTCAAGTTGATAAACTATTAGAGAACAGATTTTTTTTTTTTTAATGTGGAGAGGCCACACTGAGGAAGTGAGGAGGAAGGGCAGTATTTGCATCGGTGGCCAGAGGAGAGTGACATTGAAGGGACAGCAGGGAGAAGAAAGACTATTAGAGATGGCCCCTGAGGAGATCGTGTGATTTGGGAACTAGAAGGTACTCCTCGTCTCCTTCAGGATAACACTCTCATTTTACAGACGTGGAAAATAAGGCCCAGAGCAGTGGAATGCCTCGCCCAAGGACAAAAATTTGGTAGCAGAGCTGAAATTGAAACCCATATTCCCTGTCTCTCTGCTGAGTGCTTTTTCCATTAATTCACTGTGTCTCAGCCACACTTTTGAAAATGGGGTATTTGCCCAAAGCATCACGACTTATGTAATACTGAATCTGGCCCATTTTGGAATGGGCCAGCTTCTTTGCTTGTTTCGAGAGAGCTGCTACGGTGACATCATTTATTTTTCTGATGAGATTAAAGGAGATATCAGCTGGCATCAAAGGTGTTGGGAAATAGGGAAATGCTGGCATCCTAAATGTGGTTATGCTATTCAGCTTCCGGAATACCAGCCCAGGGCTTTTAACGTGACTCTGGTTGTCCATGGCCAGTCAAAATGGAGCATGAGCATGTCAGCCCTTGATTGTAGTGAGGGGCCCCCTTATAATTCTGTCGAATCCCCATCCTGCTCCCTTGCGGGCTACAATAGGTATAATCCTTCCCTTCTTCCTTCATTATTTGCCCTGCTCTCAACTGGGAGTCAGCCCAGGAGACAAATCTTGCACTAAGTGCCTGACGTGTGCCAGGTACTGTTCTAGGTCCTACCGTGGTATACCCATGAGTCCCGTTTCTGCATTTATGGCAGGAAGAGGCCAGAAGGTAAAATTAAACATTAAACAGATCATTAGGGGTATGATGAAAGAGGCCTAAAGGGATGGCCTGAGCCAGGTAACATGAGTTAGGTTTCTATCGTAAGCTGGCTGTGGGATGCTGACCTTTTAAAGTTTGACTTGGTACCTTGTTTGCACAGCTAAAAGCCTCTTGCCACTTAATTACAGCATTCCTATTTTTGATCAGTTAAAGCAGTGAGTAGACAACTTGGTCTCCAGATGGATCCATAGCTAGGAAATAGGCCAGGAAAAATCATGTTACATGTAGGGTTCAGTGGGACAGGGAGGGGTCTGTTTGCTCCACATTTTAGTGCGTTTATGTAAATGAGGTCCTCTCTTTCCAGGCTGCTTACCATGCAGACTTAAAAGTAACGTAGGAAAAACTGGACGTCAAACATACCTTCTTAGGGATGGTTAAAAGTTGGAGACCAAGGAAAATATTCCATTTTTCTCTGTCTAATGTCCATGTACCTTCTTTCTGTCTGGACCAAGGGGCTTAGATGT